ATGTGCTTCATCAACTGAGATTTCTGATCCATTTGAACGATTAAATATTGTGCGTCAAGAAAAATCTACCCAAGGAGAATCACTCATTAATACCTCGACCAACAAATCTGTTTCAGCCCGTAAAGAGGTTAACTCATATGTGGAAAATTATGATTTTATTGAAAGGAGTGGATCCCCCACTCCTGAAAGGTTTCTATCCTCTACTCAAAAAGAAAGTCCTAATGGCTCCTCTCTTAAAAGTACTTTCAACGCATCCAGTAAAAGTAGTCTGAACTCTGTAAATGACACTACCACTCAATGTGCTGGAGCAACTAGAACTACCGATCCCTTTAAACTGCGGCAAGAGAAATCTAGCTCCAAAGGAGCACCACTTATTAACTCATCGACCAGTAAATCTGTCTTGGCCCTCAAAGAGGTAAACTCACGTGAGGAGATTATTGACAACGTTGAGGAGGATGAAACCTCTTCTCCCAACAAATCCTCAGCTCCTCCTCAGAATGACAATATTGTCAGTTCCGCCACAAAAAATTTAGAATCAGCAAGAGACGGTTCTTACCTTGAAGATCGTTTTAATGCTACAATGGAAAATGATTTCAGCTCAGGGGACAAGATATCTAATCCTGCTCCTATATCCTCCCCGGTAGCAAGTTCAACCCCTACCTCTCGCTCCAAACCCAATTTGAATATTAGTTCAAATACTGAGGAAGAAAGTGATCCCAACTCGAAGAATGTGACAGCTGAACGTATTTTAACGGTAAATTCAACTCGTAACTCCTCTCGCTCAAATGTCAGCCCTGATACGAACACTTCAAATGGGTCTAGTACTATGGAGGATAGTGATGTGTTCGGAGAGAATGCGGTGAATGGAAATTGGGTGCAAGCTGTTTTGACGAAGTCATCTGATGGACGAGGAGTTCTAAAATGGTACAAAGACAGGGGCTCATTAGTGGCTCGGAAAAGAAATACTCTAGTAAAAATTATTATTGACAAAGAACTCGATATTGACCCATCGGTAGGGATCAAAGGAGAGCGCTTTGAAGCTCTAGCTCGTGCAATAGTTGCTCTCTTCCCAACTGAGTGCTCAGAAACCTACTACATTCCAAGGCATGTTGACACTCTCCAAAAAGTGAAACCAGCTCGAGGGAAATTATACGACAGGTGGATTAATAAAAGGAGACAGCTTCGATCAGAAGGCATCATCTGTAAAGATAAACAGTCCATCGATGAACCATCTGAAGGTAGTCATTTTACAATCATTATATATATTGTGCCCATTAGGCGGATTTTATAATAGTGGCGAATGAAGTTTGACGAAAAATCCAGGCGAAATATAGATAAATGGACCTAAATTTTAATTATTTCAAAATAAAAACTCCAAATTTTTTAGTTTTTTGGGAGGGTTCTAAAGTTTTTAAAGTCTAGATTTTTTTAGCACGAAAACTTGGTGGTGGTGTCTCAGTAATAATATTAGCCTTAATTATATTTTGACTATCAAAATCTTTCTTGTTTTGCTGTGTCTTTTTTTTTTTTTTTTTTTTTTTTTTTTTTTTGTGAGGCTAAGTTCTTGTCTCAAACTAAGGGCACCTTCCTCAAGCTACTGCATGGACGTTGTGGGCCATCCTCTATCATATCGTATAGCACCTTTTGTCTAAATTTTACCATTATTAGAGATTTTATGGAATTGTGTATGCCTTACTTTTGCTTTACATACAACCTGAATAAGCATTGTAAACTTTATGGTCATACAAGATACGAACTTGGATTCAGACCAACTTTAAGAACAGTGGGGATGTTAAATTTATTCAAGCAAATTTTTCAGCATTGGATAATGGGTAATTCAATCGGAGGTGAAAAATCTCGCTTCTCATTGGAATAGTTTTTAGGATGACACTAATGAATGCTTTCTTTTTAATTTGTTTTTAAAATTTGTTTGCTGTCTAGTAAATCAGTTCTTTAATTTGTTAACATAGTGAGGACTCGTCTTCACCGAACCAATTAAAAAAAGAAACAATTGGAGGAGTTTTCGGCTTGGCCTGAGCAGGGTTGCCAGCGACCTGGAAAACCGGGAAAAGTCAGGGGAAAAAAGTAAACCGGGAAAAGTCAGGGAAAAAAAATAAACCGGGAAAAGTCAGAGAAAGTCAGGGAATTTCGGTGTTGGTCAGGGATTTTTCTGATTTTTCGTGGAATTAGGCGCGGGCGGTCTCGGGTTCGCGTTTTTCTCATTTTCACTTTAACGGACTGCGTCAGATCCATACTTAAAAGTCAGGGAAAAATATTGGAAAGTCAGGGAAAAGTCAGGGAATGGAAAAAAATAATTTGGCTGGCAACCCTGCCTGAGTCAGCCAAGATGACACTTTTCGGGTGATCAGGCCTGCATGTTCTCAGGTCTATTGTCATTTTGTAACTTTTCGTCCCTCCTTTTCTCCATTAGTTTGGTCGTTTTTGATTCCAGAAATTGTAAGAGATGCAGAGGCATTAGAGCCTGAAATTTCAAAAGCTATCGAACTTCTGAAGTTGTACGAGCAGCTGGATGAAGATGCCCAGAATGCATTAGCAATCTCATTACATGCCAGAATTTCATTATTTAGCGCAAGCAAAGTTCATGATATCTCAAAATATCTCGAAAGTTACCCTTTGCTGGCTCAGACAGAAGGATATCGTCTCGTGAGTACCTTAAATTCTCATTAAATAGCAACCCTCATGGGCCTAACACCTATTCTTATTCTTGTATCATTTTTAGAAAGCTTATGCCAAATTTGCCAGTAGATTTTCTGAATTAAGGGAAGAGGCAGAAAAACAGTAAAATTAACCCCTTTAGCATTTTTATATGACACAAGCCCTAAGCCTAGGTCTTCTCAAAAAATGAACCTCCTCTTTCTTTTGCATGCTTTTCTTTCAAAATCATACTTAGGCTTTTCATTTTTTATTCTTAATAACAGGTCGTGTGTTTTCAGTTGTGGTCATCTCCTTACTATTTTTGTATAATTTTATTTCATCAGACCTTGATACTTTCCCGAGATTAGTACAAGATTTCATCTTTAATTTTCGTAGTGAAATCCTCTGAGCTGTAAGAGCTTAATATGTCTTGTTGCTTTCTTTAAAGATTCACGCGGACTTTGCCAGATTGCATCCTGAAAAAGCACAAGCTCTTTATCATAATTGGTCAAATTTTGCTTTCAAAATCACTAAGTACGCCGCTGATCTCCTGCCAATTACTCAAACTTTTAAGAAACAAGTTCAAATCCTGAACATTGATTTGACTCTTGAAGGTGAGCATTCTGAATTTCGTAATTTAATTTTCCACAACTTTCTAAGCCAATGTGAAAACTGGAAGACCTCACCAGGAATGATTCTCCAAGTTTTTTTGTGTAAATACCTTCTGTATCCACAAAACTTCATGACTTACTTATGCAAAAAATGCAATTCATAAATAAATTTTTCAGTATGAAAAATCCGTGAAAAGTGAGGAGAAACCTGGAAAATCATGGAACTTCCTGACCGAACCTTCAAATTTCTTCCTCCAGCCAACAATTTTGAGCGACTTCATGCTTTTTCGAGAATAAAACTCTAATGATATCATGCCAGAAAAAACATAGAGAAATCTGGGAATTTTAAGATCAAAATCCTCTCAAAGTCAGGTAATTTTGACTTCCAAGAAAACTTGTGGGAAGAATTTAGATTTAGCAATCTTAAAGATTTTTCAGCAAGTGCTTGACTGTTTGGATTGCGTGAAATGTAAGGACGGAAGATTATGAGTCTTGCCAATAAGAGAAAACTTACAATTATTTTATGGAGGCTTTTTTCCCTTCTCTCTCGTTTTCCTTTTCTCTCCCTCTCTTCTTTACTCCATCACCAGAAGCAGATTTCAGTGTCCTTTGCTTCAATTCATTTTTTACTAAAAATTTTAAAAGATTTGCTTTCTTCCAGCAGCAACTGGAGCTGCAGGTCTTCAAATTCTAATTTTTAGAATTTTAACAGTTTCTTTTCTACATGTAGATATTAGTTACTTACTTGGGCTGTATTCTACTGAAGAGATCAGATTACATCAGCTATTGCCAAAGAAATTGGGCTATTTAAATATTAACAGAACAGTTGTGCAGATTCTTTTCAACATCTCAGCGAAATAGCTTTGCACAGTGTAGAAAATTTACTGAAGAGTCTGCACTACCTGTCTACTGGAAGAAATCAAATTGCCCTCTTAAATTTGGCAATAGCTAATGTTGGTCGAATCATACCTGCTTAATGTGGTGAATTTTTGCCTCTCCATTCCGTAAATTTTGAAGGAATATAGTGAACTTAAAAGTAAAATGTTTCACTAATTGTGAAAAATACTTGATTTTAGAAATATCTCTTTTCACATTTTGTAATTTTAAGCTCTGACATGCAAGAAGAAAAAAAGGCAAAAATATACAGAGTGTCCCGAAAGTCAGTAACACCCCACCCCCTCACTCTCTCGTAATTTTGAAATGAAAGGGGGATGTTTCTGGGTCAAAGAGGACTACTTTTAGGCATATCCAAACCCTCAACCTCTCGTAATTTTGGAATGAAAGGGGGATGTTTCTGGGTCAAAGAGTACTTTTAGGCATATCCAAAATTTAGGGAGGGATGGTCCCTAACTCTCTTTTTCAAATGACAACCCCCCGCTTGTGATACCTTGTTCATAGGAGGATACGAAAAGAAATTTTTTTGCGTAATTTGCCTTTTTCACTATTTCTTTTAAGATGGTGGCCAACAATTTTTTTTCAAATTTCCTCTTATGTTGGTTTCAGATGAAAAAAATAGAGATCTGAACGCTCTGTATTTACTGTCTTTACTGTTACCGGCCTTGACTGTAAAGAGGAATTGGAAACCAAGTAAAATTGAGTGTAAGGATGCCTTTTTTTTGCAACGATCAACTATTCAAGAGGCTGCAGACAAATTGAGACAGCGAGAACGTCAGCTGAAAGCAAATAATATACCACCTCAACCGACTCCCGTCCTCATTGGCTCTGCTCACTCCAGGGAAGTATACGTCTGCATTGGTAACGTTCTTTACAAAGTGGGTTCAGTGTTGGGAGCTGTGGATATTTGTTGCAAATTATTCATGACTTTAAAAACTGAGCTTCCTCCTGACTGCATTTTACCATGGCTTTTTATTATTGCCTTCATTTATGGTGTTGATGCTGGTAACCAAGCTGTGAAGTACCCAAGCCTTACGACTTTGAAAAAAGATATTGGATTGTAGCCTCTTATCTTTGAGGCCTCTTTCATGTTTTGAGTGACCACAAACGAGAGACATGATTGTGTGTTTTTTGTGTAAATGTTCAATGTTTTCCCTAGATAGCCTTCTGGCTCACTTCAGTGATGCTCATAAGTTGAAACCAACTCTTCACCCAGTTACTTGTGCTTACAATGGTTGTCCGCGTTCTTTTTCTTGTCAGCGCTGGTTTATAAAGCATTTTTTAGATGTTCATAGTAATAATAGTTGCCTAAAAAACCGCGAGGCTGTTATAAATGCTGACAGTATAGATGTTTCCATTGTTGATGGTATTTCCATGGAAAACCGTGAGGCTGATATAAATTCTCACAACACAGATGCTAGCATTTTTTATGAGAATCCCCCCATTTCTACAAGTAATGGGCACCAGATCCAAAATGATCAAGTAGTAGTTAGTTCCTCTGCCTCGAGAATCCTGTGCTTATCCAATTCTTACCAAGGAACACTAGATGAAGATGTATTTGCATTTTGTAGTTCTCTGTATAGTTCCCCTGGTATTCCGCTGTCATACGCTGAAAAGACAATTCAACTCGTGATGAATCTTCTTAAGGGTATAAATCAAATCTATGAGCAGAAGCTCATAGATTTGACTACAGGTAGGCAGGATTTAATTTCAGAAAGTGTTCTTCCGGGAATGAAGAAAATCTTTAATTCTGTGGAAAATAATGTCCGTCAGTATAAAACTAAGTATCGTTGTGAAAAAATTTTGATTGAAAAAGGGTTATTTATACCTCCAAAACAAAAACATCTAGGCTTCATTTTCCAGAGAAGAAGATATAGGAAAAGGTATTGTGTCCTCCGTGTCAAAACTTCCTGTTCGTACATCCCTCTTAGGGAAGTTTTCCGAATTTTGTTGGAGCAAGAAGGTGTACTAAGCAGCATTTTTAAATACATGGAAAAATTAGAATGTGAACATCAAACTATTGAAAACTGCATTCAAGGTACTCATTGGAATAATATTGACCTTAATCCAACTCAAATTATTTTACCCCTCTTTCTGTTCAACGATGACATTGAAGTTGGAAACCCTCTGGGGGGGCATGCGGGTGTTAATAAAATTAATGCTACATACTGTTCACTTCCTTGTCTGCCACCTGAATTTAAAGCATCTCTTTGTAGCATATTTGTAGCTCTTTTGACGAAAGCTAGCAACTTTAAGCGTCACAGTATGAAGACTGTTTTTCAACCTCTCATTGAAGAATTGAAGTTCCTCTCCACAGCAGGAATATCTGTAAAATATTCTAAGGAAAAGGTAGTGCAGGTCTATTTTCAATTGTGTGCCTTGCTGGGAGACAACCTTGGTCTCAACACAATAGGGGGGTTCGTCCAGAATTTTTCTCGCAGTAATTTTTGTTGTCGCATTTGTTATGCAGACAAAGATAAGAGAAAATACTTAACACGCGAAGATGCCAGTATTCTGCGTAAAGTTGATACTTATAATAGAGATGTTTCGAAAAATGATGCTAGCAAGTCTGGTATCAAGGAAAGGTGTGTATTAAATGATATTAAGAATGTTCACATTTTGGAAATTTCATCAGTAGACCCCTACCATGATTTATATGAAGGCATCGTTTCCCGAGACTTAAACTTTTTGTTAAGACACTACATTTACACAAAGAAATGTTTCACTCTCTCCGAACTGAACCAAAAAATTAATTTATTCAATTATGGTTCATGTGATATGTCAAATAAGCCCCCTATCATTCCTGAAAAGTTTAATCAAAAACCCACATTGAAAATGTCTGCATCTGAATCCGCTTGTTTTTTGAAATATTTTGGACTAATAATAAAAAGCTTGGTACCAGAGAGTGAACTTGGTGAAGTTTGGGAGCTTTTTATCGCCTTGCGAAAAGTAGTTGAAATAGTAATGAGCCCATCAGTAGATCGACGTTGTTGCAATCTTTTAACTCAAATTATTGCCGAGCACCATCTTCTCTATATTGCCCTCACAAGGAAGCCTCTACCCTTTAAGTATCATGTTCTCATTCATTACCCCCGCATGATACTTCATTTTGGACCTGTGGTGCATCTGGCTACTCATAGGTATGACAGTAAGCATCGTATCATCAAAGCTGTCAGCAATGCTGTAGCTTGTAAACGAAACATATGTTTAACAGCAGCCAGGAAGTGTCAGATGCAGCTGAGTCACGATTTTTACTTGAAAAAATTTTCCAAGAGAAAGCTCACCACTGGCATAAATGAAACAGACAAAAATTATTTCAAGTTTTTTGAAGAAATTGAAGATTTAGTTTTAACAACACCCTTTCCCCAAATATTAAGACATAGAGCTACGATGAGAACATCATGGATTGAAATTAACGGGACTCGATATGTTGAAGATGTTACATTGTATTTACAAGTTGACGAAGAAACAAGTCTCCCCATTTTTGGACTTCTCAAAAAAATTTTTGTCCTCCCATCAGGAAAAGTTTATTTCTTTCTGAGAAATTTTGAAACTATTTCGTTTAATAGATTCCTGTTTGCATATGAGCTCGCTATCAACAATTCCTATTGCATATTTGACTACGAGCTTCTACATGATTTCCATTGCCAGCATGCAGTTCCTAGTTTAGAAGATGACAAGTTTTATGTTTCTCTGCTCACAAATGGTTAACTTTGAATTTCAAGCTATTAATCACCACCAGTGTTAGTAACTCATGAAATCAAAGAGAAAATAAGAGTTTGCACTGAATAAGAAAAAGTGTGATCGCCTGATCCTGGCCTGATCTTCCCGCGCTTGCTTTTCAGCCAATCAGACTCCGTACGACAAAAATTGAATTCCTTATGGAAAATAACATGAGAAATCAAAACCACGTGTTTTTTTCGAATTCAGTAAATGTTTTAGGAAAAATATGTCCACAACTGACTTCTCGGGGATCTAGCGCATTGATTGATGTATAATACATTCCACTTACTCCGAAAAACCCGGAAGATCTTAATTTTTGAAATTTCAGTCTTCTTCCACTTGAGATAGCAGGGTTGTTAAGAACATCGACCCATATGAAGGAAAATTGAAATTTCAAAAATCAAGATCTTCGGTGTTTTTGGAGGAGGTGGAATTAATTATCCATCAATCAAAATGCCAAATTTCAGAGAAGTCAGCCATGAACATATTTTTGCCAAAAAATTGACTACTTTCGAAAAATTACTCATGGTTTCGATTTCCTATGTTATCTTCCGTAAGGAAATCAATTTAGGTCAGAGGGGGTCTGCTTGGCTGAAAAGCAAGCGTAGGAAGATCTGGCGGTTATGCTTTTTCTTTATTCAATGCGAGCTCTTATTTTCTCCTTGCACGAAATCATTTAAAAGATAGTTTGCTTTAAACATAATTCAGCATCCGTTTTTCAATTCTAACACGGCAAGACTTCTTGTATTCTTCTAATTGGAAAACTAGTGTTTCATGCATCAAATCTCGTAGGTACTATTGAAGTGGTATTAGTACATTGCAATTTTTTAGAGATTGTTCTACTTCCAATTTTGGCTTAATGAAAATCCAAGCCGTGCATTGTTTCAAGACATCTGAAGGAATTCGGAATGTGTCAAGGAATTAGTTGTTTTTCAAATCTCTAATATCGAGGCACAACATACATTAAGTTCATTGACTAAGAATCAGAAAGTTAGACAATCTTAGCAGTGTCTGAATGTCCTTATCCTACGTGGATCTTGTAAATTCCATGCATGCAATAGAATGAAAATAATTGATAGAAACTTTGAATCATCTTAATGGCTTTTGAAAAGTTTTTGTTTCTTTCTTCAATTTTTGATAAAAGCATTTTCTATTTTTTCATCAATTACACAATTTTATCTTCTTTTTGATCCTTCCTAATTTTCAGGCTAACCTTGAGCCCCCTCCGCTATTCTCACTCAGTAAGTCTTAGGTGCAAAAGTATATTAAATATGAAGTTTTTTTTTTATGAAATGTTATGTTATAATGTCGCTTTGATTTTTTTCTTTACGTTTACGTTTCCGTCCTTTTATTTTTATTCAAAGGTGTCAATTTTCCATTCTTATTTAAAGCTACGCCTTAACTTAAATTTTTATTTGATACTCATAATTTAAGTACCTCAGTGTCTTTTTAGGTCACATTGTATGTATATAGTGTTATTGTTTTTCCTATACTATTACTTCATAATTTACGTACCTCAGTGTCTTTTTAGGTCACGTTGTATGTATATAGTGTTATTGTTTTTCCTATACTATTACTTCCATCTTCTATGACATCAAATTATGTTCAAGTGGACGGTGTGTAGGAGAACAGAACTAAGATACATCAGCTATGCTAAATTTCATAGAACAATTTTTTTTCCTCTCTCTTTATGAAAATGGTTGTTTGGATTAATTTGAAAATTTCTGGGAATTTTTGTAACGCAAACAAAAAGATTGATAGAATTAAGTAACAGCTGATGCGTTTTGATTCCTTTCCTCTTAATGTGATTAAAATGAGTCTTGGCTTCTACTGGCTCAGTTAACTACACAGTAATTCTTCAACCACTTATGACATATTTAATTTTGTGATTAAACATTGAAAGAGTCTTCACAGGTCATTTTATACTGCATTGTTATCAAGCTTGGTAGAATACTTTCAGGAATTTCCAATTTTTGTCTCTCTGTTTTCTTTTCTTGCTGAAGTACCAAGAAAGTTTTGGTAAAATTTTATTTGACCTGCAGATGGCGAGTTCATCTTTATTATGATTCTAAGTATTTTCATGTTCATTATATTCTCTGACTTGAAGCTTTACTTCAATTTTCTAAGTATTTTCATGTTCATTATATTCTCTGACTTGAAGCTGTACTTCAATTTTAAGTTGTTTTCTTCCCTACCAATTTTTATTTTTTGAGTTTAGTGACTTTAAGTCACTGAATCAGTAATGATACCTCTCCTCACCTGTTCCATTATTTTGACAGAACAACATTCATTTGTCTCACCATTTTTTTTTTATTTTTAAGCCTATTGAAGTTTTCATTTAAGCCATGAGTATTATAGGTCCTAAACG